GCTCTACTACTGAGCTACCAAAAGGCCTTTGCCTGCCTCCTGGCAACTCACCTGCTGCACAAAGCAGTCCACACTGACCGTGCCTCCGTTTGCTTGTATAGCCAGTCAGCTGCTACCTGTACCCATCACAGCCTTAGTGTCAGTTCTCCCATGGACACCGTGCGGGGACAGGCTGCCAGGCACCAACACTGCTGTACACGTCACATGCTGACGGACAAAGGGATTTACAAAAAGGAAATCTAAACCTGTCTGTTGTAGGCAGCACAATCGCCCTTTTTAAACAACAAACCCAACAAGTGAAGATGCTTCACAGCCGAAAGGAAACCTGGCCCCAGATGACGCAGGAGGCAGGACTTAGGCCCACCCTGCCATCAGACAGGAGGCGGATCCTTGCACCTACATGGATTCCCACTGGAGCACCACACCAGGTGCAGGCTGCTCCTGCCCAGATCCAGTCACAGGATCGGGGCCTTTAGGTGTCAGGGGGCTGAAGAGGGAGGCAAGGCTCTTCCAGTCACAGACCAACCACTCTCATTTCTGCACCTAGTTCTGCTGAAGCGTCCCATCCTAGAACACGCCTGGGTGGGTTTCTGCATGTCATTTCCCCCTTTGTCCTGGCATAAGCAGCGCAGGGGAGCTACGCAGGGTAAGGTGAGAGCCGAGAGCACTGTGTGGCAGGGAGAGTTCAGAATGACACTTACACCATAAATCTCTCTTGTTCCCCGACGCTATCGCTTGTGAGCGCCAGAGAATCCCCTGCGGGGGCCATTGCTGCCAGTCTGGCGTCCAGCTGGAGGGGCTACGGAATGCACCGACTGCTCATGGGAGGGCCTGTGTGGAGAAAGGGATGCGACTGGATGGTGGAAGTCAGGTGCAATTTGTGAAAGGGTTCCCTTATGTTTGCAAGGCTGCAAACGGCCTCAGCCACGTGCCTGGAGACGCGGAACAGCGAGAAGCTTTGCTCCGTCGAAACCTGGTTTGTGAAGCTGGGCTCTTCCCTCGTGGCGCTGCCGATTACAGGAGACGGCGGATACCAGTGGATGCCGACTGACCCGGAATTCTGGCCATTTATTGAAAGCTTTGCAGGCCCATAGACAGGTAATGGGCTGTGCAAGAATTATACAAAATATCCCTCGGGTAAGGTGAGGCAAACAAAGAATGCACTGTACATGCATCTTAAAACAAAAATTCTCAAAGGTGAGTCACCTGCCTCCTTGCAAAAGCGCGTCCGGGTGGTCACGCTGAAATGCCAAGCCAATCTGGAGATTTACAAGAGTAAAACAAACCCCAAACAGCCAAGAAGCCCAGCAACGTTTCCTCAGGTGCTTCCAACTTCATACACAAGCTACATTCTTCCCCTACTTGGCACTTCTCCCCATTTAAAACAAAAGACAAAGAAAGGCACTATTCCAAGGAACTGGTCTTGGTGCAGAAACAGGAGCCCAGGGACCCATCCAGAGCTAGGACTTTCCCCAAGATACAGGCATAGGCACAGTGACAGGCCTTTGGCAACAGGGCGTCTGGCTGGGAGAGTCTGAACTGTCCAGCATTAGCTGTCTGCGTGTCCTTTTCAGCTGAAGTCTCGGTCAGGGAGGATGACGGGGGCCACCAAGGTCCAGAGGTAGAGGAGGAGACCAGCCCAGCTGGAAGAGATCTTTACCCAGACTGCAGTCCACGGACTCGTCATTTCCTGGGAATCTTCACTGGGCCTGAAACACCAAACAGAAGTGCCTCACAGTAAGGTACTTACTGGATAGGCCACGTCCCACGGGTCCCTCCTGTCCCCTCCCCTCCCCGTGCCACACACCGTAGCTGGGAGAGAAATGAGGAATCGAAGTCCTGTACCCAAGGGGATCAGCTGATTGCCAGGTCACTCCTGCATGGGGTGAGGAGTGGGGGCCATTTCAATTCACACTGTTAAGCCGGAGCTACCGGGCCTACACAAGCCACGTCAGCCACGTTACTGACAAGCCAAACTGCCTGCTCCCACATGCTCTGGCAGAACCGGGCTGCCCTGCGGCGAGCCGGAGCCAGACGTGGCCCCAGCCAAGGGGAGCGTGGGCTGCCGGGGGAAGCTGGGATTCATTGCGCCGTGGGTCTTGGCCACGTGGCTGCCCAGCGAAGAGCTCAGGCAGTCTCACTGCAGACAGGCCACGTGGAGCTTTATAAATAGCAAAGCGGAGGGAGGGGCGGGATGGGGGCCGCGACAGACACTAGGTCTCTGGGTCCCAGAGAAAGGGGGCAGGGAAGTGTCTCCCAGCCTGCAGAGCCCCATCAGCCCCCCAGAGGGGACGCTCCAGCGCGAGCTCCCTGCTGGCAGAGTTCAGCTGAGGACATCTCCGAAGGGACCCAGCCTGCCTGGATGCCGCTGCTGCTCTGCGCTGGTTACCAAGGCAACCCCGCTACCGTGGCAGCAAAGTGGAGGGGGGGGCCTGCCATATGCCACATGCCCCCAGCAAGCCAGCACCTAGGGCTTGCTGATTGGCTGGGAAAGCTGTCAGTCACCCCAAGCCAAGAACGCCTAGCCCAGGTCTGCCTCTCCCCGCCGGTGCTGCACGGGCCTGCTGGGGGCAGGGACAGGGGGCCTAGGGCCATAGCAGCAGCCAACGGCACTAGCCAGCCGGGGGGCTCTCTCCCAGGGCAGAGGACCAGCACTGGAGCCTCCCGGTACCTGCCTGGCGTGAGTTTCACCGTCAGCGCGCTCTCGCCGCGGCGACACAGATGGAGGGTTAGTCCCCGGGCTAGCTACAAGGTGAGCTCAATGGCACATCTACAACACAGACTGTATCTGGGGGAGCATTCCCGGCCATCCACGTCACGGCCGTTTCTGAGGGGGGCCCAGGGGCATCACTGCTGTGTTACTGATGGGGAAACTGAGGCACACAACGATGAAGCATTTTTCTTGCAATGCACATCCAGGAAGAGACCCCCCCCCAAGTGTCCTAATCTGCAGCCACCAACCCATCACACGAGATTACACGGCTTCAGAGAAAAGCCGGTTGCCTCAAAACAGGCCTGACCTTTCCTGTAAGCAATATCCAGGGCTCTGACCCTTCCTTAGCCCTGTTCGAGTGGGAGGGAGAACAAGAGCCACACCACAGCGCGATACCATGGAGCCACGCAAGCCCGACTGCCAGGTTCTGATCCCAGGCCGGCACTGCCCCCGTTTCGGCCCTACCAGTGCTCTTCAGCCCCGGCCAGAAGCACCAGGCTGTGGCTCTCTGGGACCCCAGCGTGGCCGTGGCAGGCAGCATCTGGAGAGCACCTACCTATACCAGTTTGTGAGCGTCATCATGATGTAGAGGGAAGCCAGGACGAGGCAGAGGTGGAAGAAGCTGTAGTTGTAGGCCACGCCGTCCTGCTCGTTGTCATAGGCCTGACGCACCCCATCTTCCCCGCCGGGATCCCCGCTGCCCAGTGCGGCCGGGCTCTCCTCCGTCAGCATCAGCTTGTTCACTTGGCTGTGGCCCGAGGAGCGGAGGCTGAGAGCAGAGACCCCAGGGGGAAGGTGAGCCCACCGGAGAGCCTTGGTGTGCCGTGCTCAGGCTGGCTTTGGGCGCTGTGCACGGGTGAGTTCCCCTCCCCGCCTCACCCGCCCCCAGGGGCACTCATGATGGACGGGGGAGCCAAATGCTCCGCATGACCCTCAGGAGAAAAGCCCCGTGTCCCTGCACGGCGGGCGCTGCCGGAACGCCTCACGCGGGTGTCCAGGGTCCCCCGCCTGGGCTGCTCCACGGCAGCGGACTGGGCGCCGCTGGGGAGGAGGAAGAGCAGCCGCGGGCACACGCTCTCCAGGCGGCCGTGGCGGCTCAGCCATACCTGATGAAGAGTGTGCACAGGAGGAAGATGATCAATCCCACGATGCTCGGCGCATCCCACCACTGAGTCACCTGCCCGTCAGCCGGCTGGCCGGCCGTGCTGTTCCTCACCAGGAGGGTGGGATTACAGGACTTGTCTGCAAGGGAATCCAAAAGCCTTGTAAGCAGCAAGAAACCGCCCCCTCTGGCCCGCACGGCTGGCAGCTCTGGAGCCTGGAGAAAAGGCACAGCCAGCAGCACCACAACAGCCCATGCCTCCTCCGCCCCCAGCGAACCCTGCCCTGGGACAGTGATGGCCTGGTTAGATGAACTGGCTAATGGGATAGTCGATGCAATTTGCCCGCACACTGGAGCAGGGCAGCATCCTCCCACGACTGACAACTCCCACCCTCCCAAGACACTGACGTGCACCCCGTCCTCTCCGCTCCGGGCTGGGCCTGGCACACATCACAGTGCCCGGCCAGCGGGGCTCAGAGCGACCCCCCGCCTGCTGCAGGGTTGGCGCTGGGCGCGGCCACAGCTCGTGGGACTCCCTGGCTTCGGTTCTAGTTTGTAACCGGCAACAGTCACCAGGGCAGGGACCGGGGCGCGTGGGGACAAGGAAGCCAAGGGGATGCCGGACAGTAAAAGGTCCCAGCCTTCGGGAGGGGCACAAGCGGGGAGAGGACCTGCTGGGGGGAGGGATGTCAGGAGAGACAGCCCCTGAAACAGGCCTTTCTGGTGGGGATGCGCTGGCCCGGGGCTGCTCCAAGGCCACTTGCACCCTCTGCCGCCCAGCAACCTGCTGCCACCCGGCTGGCCTGCCCCCCCGGAGGCTGAGGCAGGACTCGAGTCACGGCCGAGCGCCAGCGTCACTCACTGGGTACGTTCGCCAGGGCCGACCAGGTGATGAACAAGGTGTAGAGGGTGATGATGGAGGCCTGCAGCAGGCCCGAGTGAGGCTGAGCATCCTGCAAAGGGGAGGAGCAGCCGTTCAAACCCGGCACCAGCCCCGGCACAACCAACCACCGGCTCCCTGCTGGCAGGACACAGCCCCTGGCAACGCCAGCCTGGGGAGCTGGAGGGAGAGAAAACACCCTCCTCCCGGGCCTGCCGCTGAGATGCCCGGGCACAGCCAGCCCGAGGCTGCCCCTGCCCCACACCCTGCGCAACAGGCCTGGCAGGCCTGACTCCATGGCCAGCGAGTCTGCAGGCGCCGGCTGCGGCAGAGGGAGGAGGCATCCTGCTGCGGCAGTCTGGGATCACTTCCTGACCGAGCGGCCGGCCTGTGCAGGCTCCTCCCCCCAGAGCTGTAACCCGCGGGGAACGCGGCTGGGCGCTGGGCCCTGGGGCAGCAAATTCCACAGGTGACTTTTATGCCGGGTTATTAGAAGCAGGCGACAACCCTGCTAGACCTGGGCCCGCTCCCGACGGGCTGCTCGCCTGGCCGGGGGGACCCAAAAGCACCAGGGGAGCTCGTACCCCGGTACCAACGCCAGCGTATGGCAGTGACTCCCAGCACCCCAGCCCTCAGCTCCCCGAGGTGGCTGCCAGGAGGCTCCCTTCTCCTCACGCTTCTGGCTGTGAGAAGGAGTAAGAGGCTCCCCCAGCAGGACCCTGCCTTACAGGCCCTCACGCTGCGCTCCCCGCTCCAGGCAGTGCTCAGCCCAGGCCACCCTGCTGGAGCGGCCCCATGCAGCTAGGGAGCCAGGGCCTGAGCCTGCTGGCTACAGCCCACGGCTCCCCTGCGAACTCTGCTCCCAGGAGTCCATCGCGTCAGCAGGGACGGGAGTCCAGCCTCAGCTGACAGCCAGCCCAGGGGTGGGTACCGGAGGAGCCGGCTCCAACGTCCCCCATGAAGGCAGGCTCAGAGCACGCGGACGAGCGCCGACTGCAGACACGGTGGAGCCAAGGCCCGCGGCTCAGCCGGCACTCCCAGCTCAGCCCCCAGACGGCGCGAGAGCGGCAGAGGCCTGGCAGCGGCTTCGCGGCTCCCCCCTCACCTGGATTTTGGGCAGGACCGACACGACCGAGGCGACGACGCAGAAGATCAGGTTGAGGCTGATCAGCACCTTGTTCACCGTGCAGTCATCAGGCTTGGTGTAGTAGACGTAGAGCAGCACCAGGGCTGCGATGGACACCGCGTAGAGGATGAAGGTGACGACGATGAGGGCTGGGGGCGGGGGGAGAGGGTGGAACTGGGTGTGATGCTCCCCAGAAGCCTGGGCTCACACGCCAGTGCCCCGGTAAATGGCCCGTGCCCGCTGTAGGTTTCACGCCCTGTAAAGTTTTGCCCTGCTGTTGGCACCGGCCACCCCGAGATCCTGCAACTCAGAGAGGCGAGGCTGCTTTTACAGCTTGTGCGGAGTCATCTCACTGGCCTCCCGCCGGGACCCACAGCTGCAGGGAGGGAAACGCTCCCAGGAGGGACACGTGATCCTTAAACCACCACCGCAAGCAGGAGCAGGGGCTCGTACAACTCACTGCCTGGATTTTAACCCTCCCCGTTTCAGGAAGGGGCAGGGTCGTACTTGGGTGGGCCTACCAGGACGCGCTCCATACAGACCTGCGTACCAGCCCAGCTCTGTCTCCAGCAGTGGGCAAAGTCAATCAGAAGGATGAGCTGGATGAGGATGAAGAGGAAGGAGCCCACCACGCCGAAGTAGAACCACACTGAGCGGGAGGGAGCAGAGGGAGGAGGAGGGGTCAATGCTGGGAACGTTTATAAGTTCTCGATGACACCAGTGAGACTTCTTCCTAGCCTCTCTGCTCAGGCGCTGAGCTGCTAAGGGGACATCAAGTCATGCATGTCAGAGATGCCTCCTCCTTGCATCCCATCGGACAGCTCTGCACTCAGTTGCACTCCAGGGGTACGTCTAGACTACATGCCTGTGGCGACAGAGGCATGTAGATTAGGCTACCCGGCATAGGAAAACGAAGCGGCGATTTAAATAATCGCCGCTTCATTTAAATTTAAATGGCTGCCGCGCTGAGCCGATCAGCTGTTTGTCAGCTCAGCGC